TGGCCTTGCATACAGCCGGCCTGGCTCAATCCCGGGCACCTCATGTGGTCCCCTGTGCCCGCCAGGAGTGATCCCTGTGTCCTGTGTCGAGGGCCACAAAAAAGCCCTGAGCGCCCGCAGGTGTGGTCACAAAACCAAACCAACAAGCAAAAAAAGCTAAAATAATGCAAGAGAGCATCTCCATGTGGGGGAGCTGCTTTGGTGAAACTGGGGATAAGGATGTGCCAGGTTTGGAGGTGGCAAGGGGTGACCCTGCAAGGAGGTGTCCACAGAGGGAGCTGGGGACTGGGGCCAGTGCCCAGGCTGGGCACTCCACATCTGCTTGGTGTCGCAGTCTTGAAATTTCTGTATTTATGGAAGTTGTGCGTGGAAACAGGTTACTTCCCCTTGATCCCAATAGCGAATATTCAGAGGGAATAAATCAACCTGATTTTCCTCTGGTTTTATTCTCTCCTCCACTTCTACTTGTCATTTTTTTCAGAGTCAGACCGGTTTCTGGAGGAATGCAAAGGTTTTAAAATGTAGACAAGAGGGGCCAGAGGACGGTACAGCAGGTTGGGTCTCAAATCTCAGCATCCCGAGCACCTCCAGGAGTGATTTGGGTGTCATCCAAGCCGCAAACAGAACAAAACAAAAAACTTAGCCGAGTAAAGCAAGTCCTTTCTCTTTCCCTGCTATGTGGAGGATTTTAGCTGCGACCTAGCTAAGGATTGTAAAACACAGGGATTTTGTTTTATTTTGGCTTTGGAGCCACACCTGGGCGGGGCTGCACACAGACCTGGAATCTGAGGACCTTCCTCACTGTCCCCCAACTTTGTTTGTTTTGTTGCGACAAATGGGGCTGTGGTCAGGAGTCACTTCCGGCTGACTGGGGGGCCAGGGAGGGTCTACATCCTGGATTATCTCAGGCCCCCTGCAGGTTCTGGTTCTTCTGGATGGTTTAACTCCTGGCCCAGGGTGTTGATGACCCGTGGGGCCTGGCTAAGTCCTGAGCTCAGTGCCTTGGCCATCCCACCGGGGGTTGGCTTGGGGGGGCCGGGAACACCTTTTTATTTTTATTTTTTTTGCCACACCTGCTCCTGGCTCTGCACTCAGGAATTGCTCCTGCAGGGCAGAAACCATACGGGATGCCATGCTGGAATCAAACCCAGCTCCACCACATGCAAGGCAAACGCCCTCCCCACTGGACTATCTATCCCTCTGGCCCCTGCTGAACATTCCCTTCCCCAGTGAGCTCAGTGGGAGGTCCAGGAGGGGAGCCCAGGACCCCACTGTCCTGGGACGAGCCATGCCCCCTTTCTCTGCAGGCCAGAGCTCAGTCTTTCTGTATATCCAGGCTCCAGTTCTGTGAGTGACCGTCTAGACGGGGAAATGGATCAGACACACGAAAATCCAGAGACAGAGACCCAGACATTCGTGTTCTGTTTGGGGGGCCACACCTAGCAATGCTCAGAGTTTACTCCTTGCTCTGCTCAGGGATCACTTCTGGTGGGGCTTGGGGGACCAGATAGGGTGCCAGGGATCCAACCCAGGTCAGTTACTGCAGAATAAATACCTTGTCGGCTGTGCTATCACTCAGACTTGGCTCGTTAATCTTTGCTTTTAAAAAAGCAAATAATTTAAAACGGAGAAGGAAAAACAGGTGGTGCTGGAAAAAACTCAGGGGGGCGGAGCAATAGTACAGCTGGGAGGGTGCTTGCCTTGCACATGGCTGACCCGGGTTCAATCCCCGGCACCCCATATAGTCCCCCGAGTACCGCCAGGATTGATTCCTGAGTGCTGAGCCAGGAGGAATCCCTGAGCATCACTGGGTGTGACCCAAAAAACAAGCAAAAGAAAAAAAGAAAAGAAAAAAGTTCAGCCAGGGCTAGAGCGATAGCACAGTGGTTGGGCGTTTGCCTTGAGCGGGGTTCGATTCCTCTGCCCCTCTCGGAGAGCCCGGCAAGCTACCGAGAGTATCTCGCCCTCATGGCAAAGTCTGGCAAACTACCCGTGACGTACTCAATATGCCAAACACAGTAACAACAAGTCTCATGATGGAGACGTTACTGGGCCCGCTCGAGCAAATCGATGAACAATAGGAGGACGGTGCTACAGTGCTACAGTGCTCAGCCAGGCACAAATCAAAATGGATTAAAAACCTCCATATCAGACGTGAGTCTATAAGCTATAAAGAGGAAGATAGAGGCAGAACTTCCCATGACACCAAAGGCCTCTCCTCACACCCAGATAGGGGTACATCACCACGGCGACTGGTGTTGGTGAGGGTGCGGGTGCAAAGGGACTCTCGGTCACCCACTGGCCGTGCCTTTTTGGAGACAATATGAACAGTCCTCACAAAAGTAGAAATTCCCGGGGCTGGAGCGATAGCACAGCGGGTAGGGCGTTTGCCTTGCTAGCGGCCCACATGGCCGACCCAGGTTCGATTCCCAGCATCCCATATGGTCCCCCGAGCACTGACAGGAGTAATTCCTGAGTGCATGAGCCAGGAGTAACCCCTGAGCATTGCTGGGTGTGACACAAAAAGCGGAAAAAAAAAAAAAGTAGAAATACCCAATTCCCATCCCTACTCCCTCCCCCTCCCCCCTCCCCCCAGTGTCAGGACACGTGATGCAGCTACAGAGCTTCCTGGGTACACTCAGGAGATCCCGGGCCAGAGCCCAGCTCCAGCTACACAGCAAGTAGGAGCGGCAAATTAGCTGGGAGGTGGCCTGGAAGCCCACCAAGCCCATAAGCGAAGACAATAACACGAAGGTTTATTCAGCACAGATAGCTCAGTAAATCTCAGACAATGACTTTAATAAGCCTACTGTGAGATATAACAATCTGCACAAGTTTTCTCTTACTGAACCATTTTTCAATAATTTCATTTGCCGTTTTGTTGCAACAAGCAATACGAGCTGAATTATTTTGTGCCTGCGAAGGGGGCGGGGCCGTGGTGAAGGAAAGAGCACCTGGGGGTGGGATCAGCGCTGGAGCTCAGAATGCCCGAAACAAGCGCATCATGAACAACTCCGTGAACCATGGTGTTTAGATAAAGTTAGAAAAACCCAACTCGGCATTGAGGTTAGCAACAGCAACTCCAGGACTTTGAGCGTACCCCAAGGGCCCCAAAGTGCACCGCAGAAAAGCTAAGTGCGCCCTTTGTTCACTGCAGCGTAGTCGCAACACCCAGATCCCTGAGCATCCAGGGGCCCAGGCGCAGAGAAACTCCGGCACTCACACGAGGACCGCGGTATGGAGTGGTCACGCCACTCACTGCTGCGTGGACGAGCTGGACAGCACCGCGCCGAGTCCAGTAGGACGGCGAGGGACAGGCACACGGTCACTGAGACGCGGGGTGTGCAGGAGCGGAGTAAGGGGCAGCAGGGCCCAGCACGGACACTTGGGGGACTGCGGCTGGGGCAGCCACCTGCCAGGGGTCGGGAAGGGACACCGGGATTGGTGCTTTGGTGCGGGAACAATGTACACAGAATCGTGAGTAACTTTGTAACGTTGCCATTCAGGAGATCTGAAAGAGACACAGCGAGTCTGACGCCGTGGAAGACGCGGTCCCCCGTGGGATTCTGCATGCGCAGGCGTCGGGGTCACCGCAGGCCCCAAGTAGCTTTCTTTCCCCTTTTATGGGCACACCCGGAGGTGCTCGGGGGACACGCGGTGCTGAGGCCTCCTCGTTCAGGGGATGCCACAGCCTCTGCGCCTCTGCTGGCTGGGTTCCAGGGGGCTGGCTGGCACCGGGCACAAGCCCGGCCTCTGTCCACCGGGGGTCAGGTGCGGGCACCGAAACGCACGAGGACACTCGGGCTCTCCCGCGGGCGCTGGCAGATGTCTCGGCCCGTGTCGAGATGGCGCTGGAGAGGCAGGCCTGGGGTTGACCGCGTCGGGCTCGGAAGCACGCGCGGCCCCTTTAAGGCGTTGGCGCCCTCGGCTTTACGTCCCTCGGCGCTCGCCGTCGGCGCCGTCGGGGAGGCGGGCCCGGCTCGCCCCGCCCCCGGCGGCCGCCCGGCCCCCGCGCACGCGCACTGGAGCCGCCCCCCCACGCCGCCTCGTCGCTCTCGCGCCGGCTCCCGCCCAGGAGGCGGCCAACCCGAGCCCCGCCGGCCGCCAGGTAAGGGGCGGGGGTCGCGGCCGCCGGCACCCCGCGCCGGCCCGGCCGCCTCTCCCCGCGGGCCCCCGCGGCCCCCGCGCGCGCCGACCCCCGGCGCCCCGCCCGGCCGCGCGGCCCCTGCAGGCGCGTGGCGGGGGCTGCCGCCCGCAGGGACCCCCGGCCCGGCCGAGCGGACCCCCGCCCCCGCCCCCACCCTCACCGCGCCGGGCGTTGCGCGCGCGGACCCTCCCGGAGCGGCCCCGCGGTGCTGCGTCCCCCGAGGCCGGGGGGCGTCGCGGCCGCCCTGCAGGGCCTGGGGGCCGCGGCCGGAGCGACGGTCCCTCGGCGTCACCTGCGCGTGGGCGCGGGGCGGCCCCGGCCCGAGACCACCTTTGTGCCCGCGGTCCCCCGCAGCGCGCCTGGGTGGGGGCGTCGGCGGCCGCCGCCCCTGCGCCGGGCTCGCGACCACCCCCTGCACCGCCTGGGGCGGGGGGACCCGCGGACGGTCGCCTGGGCGGGGGTCGTGCGGCCACCCTGCGGGGCGAGCCTGTGGGTGGGTCTGATCCGCCGCCCGCCCGCCCGCGCACACCCACCAGGCGGGTGGCTTGCTGCCCCCCCTACCTCGGGCCGCCGCCCGGCTGTCACCTAAAGTGCCTTGGGGGGCCTGGCTGTGTCCCCAGATGCAGCGCCCTGAGCTCAGTGGCCGGCCCAGGACCCACCCCCCGGTTCCCAGCAGGGTTCCCAGCAGGGTCTTGATGCCCTGATGGCACTGCCCTCCCGTGGGGTGGGGGCGCCCCTCACAGTGTCCTTGATTGAAGGGACAGTGATGGGGGGGCGCGGAGGACGCGGCGGTCCCTCCCGGGACGGTCACGGGCCTGTGTGCAGATCTGCAGGCTCTGTCGGCCGCCGCTGCTGCACGCTGCCACCGAGCCTGTGCTTGGGGACACTCCCCGTGAGCCGGAGACATGGCGACGGAGGACAAGAAGCCCGAGACGGAGGCCACCCGTGCACAGCCCACCCCCTCGTCCTCGGCCACGCAGAGCAAGGTGGGCACTGAGGCCTGGGGGCCGCTGGTAGACCTGCGGGGTGGGGGGGCGCTTCCCGGGGCTGCAGCCGGTGGGCCCCTGGGAGGGGAGGTCTTGGTGCAGTGACCCCATGGGGATTGTCGGACGGTGCCCTTGGAGTGCTGGTGGCCCAGGAACGGGGAAAGGAACAAAGCCCCGGCGCTCACTCCCCACCCTCTGCAGCCCACACCTGTCAAGCCAAACTACGCGCTCAAGTTCACGCTGGCTGGGCACACGAAGGCTGTGTCGTCCGTGAAGTTCAGCCCCAACGGGGAGTGGCTGGCCAGCTCCTGTAGGTTCTGGGGGCCGGGACACGGGGGGCGGGGTCAGGCCCAGTCCGTGTCTGCACCTGGCGCGGCTGGCATGTAGGCCTGGGTCCTGGGCAGCTGTTCCTCTTTCTTCACTCCCTCCCTCCCTCCCTCCCTCCTTCCCTCCCTCCCTCCTAGCTGCTGATAAACTCATCAAGATCTGGGGGGCTTACGATGGGAAGTTCGAGAAGACCATTTCTGGGCACAAGCTGGTAGGTTCCGCCGCGGCCTCTGCCCCTTACACCCCAGGGCCCTGGCCCCCTCCTGGGCGTCTGTCGGGGGCGGGCACAGTGGCCCTGGTTCAGCTGCCTGCCGTCCTCGCCTTCAGGGCATTTCGGACGTGGCCTGGTCCTCAGACTCAAACCTGCTGGTTTCTGCCTCCGACGACAAGACCCTGAAGATCTGGGATGTGAGCTCGGTGAGCCATGGCAGGGGCGGGCAGGGATGGCCCAGCCGGGTGCCTGCATGCCCGACCCCAGTGTCAGCCGCTCCCCATGTCCTCGCAGGGCAAGTGCTTGAAGACCCTGAAAGGCCACAGCAACTATGTCTTCTGCTGCAACTTCAACCCTCAGTCCAACCTCATTGTCTCTGGCTCGGTGGGTGCGGTGGGGCCAGCCGGTGGGCCACGTTGGGGGGGCACGCGGGGGGGCGGCCCGTGCTCACTGCCACTGTCCCGGTCAGTTTGACGAGAGTGTGCGGATCTGGGACGTGAAGACCGGAAAGTGCCTGAAGACGCTGCCCGCACACTCAGACCCTGTCTCTGCTGTGAGTGTGGGTGGGGCACTGAGCACAAGTCACAGCGGTGGGGGGGTGGGGGGGCACTGGGCCATGTCCCCGTCACGAAGGGCATCGGGAAGGACAGCCCGTGTGGGTGGTATCCAGAAGAACCCAGCTGCTGGGGGTGGTTCCGAGGCCCCAGTCCTGTCTGTGCCACACAGCGCTCCCAGTGGCTGCCGGGGACCAATTGCGCCTCGCGACGGGATGTGGGGATCTACCTCAGAGCTCATGGCCAGCCATGGAGCCACCGCCCCCCCCCCCCACAGCCTCTGATGCGGGGAGCACATGGGGGTGTGGCCTCAGCCCTCCTTGCTGGGAGGTTCTGTCCCCGCTCCGATGGTGGTAGGGGCCTCGCTGGGCCAGGCTGCTGGTGCCCAGTGTCCTGGGCACAGGCCAGCCGAGGCCGTTCTGTCCCTGTGTGCGACCTCACTCCCTGCCACGTCCCCGCGGGGCACACCGCGAGGTGGCCGGCCTGGGCACTTGTGCTCTGCCGTCTTGTGGGCCGTCCTGCAGCCCTGGAGTGTGGCCGGCGCTGCCCAGTGGGCTGCTCTCCAGCCTGGGCTTAGAGGCTCCTCTGCTGCCTCAGGTCCACTTCAACCGTGATGGCTCCTTGATCGTGTCCAGCAGCTATGATGGGCTCTGGTGAGTAAGGCTTCACGCCCGCCGTGGCCCATTCCAGGGCTGTGGGCACGCGGGGCGCTGAGTGTGGCCTTGGGAGGCGCTCCCCCCCCCACCCTTGACTGCGGGGAGGATGGCGGATAGGGGCACCCAGGGGAGAGGGAATGCCCTTCCCAAGGTCCGTGCCAGCCAGGTCCTCCTGCAGGGTGGGCACCAGTGGTGCCAGAAGGGGGTCTGCAGAGTTGTACGGTCGGGGGAAGGGATCTCAGAGCCCCAGGGCAGGGTGGCTGGAAGGGGGGGTCTGCAGACCCCCAGGGCAGGGTGGGGATGTGGCCCCAAAATAGCCTTAGGCTGTGAGTGAGGGAAACTCAGGGTCGCCTGGTCTGTTCCTAGCCGCATCTGGGACACGGCCTCGGGCCAGTGCTTGAAGACGCTGATAGGTGAGTTGGGGATGCTCGGGGTGGGGCCTACTGAGCCGAGCCCATGGCATTACTGGGCTCCCCACCAGCCTGCTCAGGGCGACCCGAGGTGCAGGACTGTGCCGGGGGTCCTCCTGGCCATGATGTGGGCCAGGGCCAAGGGCGGCACCTGGGGACTTTGTGTCCCTCGGGCCCCTGGCCTTCAGGAAGACGAGGGGGTGCGTGCAGTGCTCAGGGCCCCGGGGACGAGGCCCAGAGTGGCCTGACCTGCTGTGGGGGGAGGGGTGGGTGGGAGGAGCCGTGTGCCCCCACCATCAGTGCCTGCCCCACCCTTCATGGTCTGCCTCTGTCATTCCCTGCATCCGGTCACTGCCCTGCCCTGTCATTGCCGGGCACCTTCACTGTCCAGTGCCACCCCCATCACTGACCCTGCTCCCCTCTACTGCTCAGCCCGCCACTGCCCACCCTCACCCTTCTCCTGCCCTTGCAGTGCCTTCGAGCCTGTGCGGGGAGGTACGGCCCCGGGGGCGGGCCCAGCCACAGCTGACAGGTGGTAATTGAGGGCGTGAGGCGCCCGGCGTCCAAGCTCCCGGGTCCCCTCACTGGCCGTGGGCAGCCTGCTGGGTGCCGACTCCCTCCTCGGTGTCCCGGGACTGGCCGCACCCTGCCCCAAGGAAGGGCTTGGGCACAGTATGGGGCCGGGTGAGCTGGGCTTTACTGGTCACTCACCTTCGTTTCATGGCTGCATGGTGGCAACTGGCCACGCCTGTCCAGGGGCTGTGGACTGCACCCCAGGCACTCGCCCTGCCCCCCGCACGTCTTCTCCATGGTGGTGGGGGGGGCAGAAGGCTGCTCATGGTCTCCTCGTCCCAGTCAGCGTCCTCCTCTGCTCCACACAGACGACGACAACCCGCCCGTGTCCTTCGTCAAGTTCTCGCCCAACGGCAAGTACATCCTGGCCGCCACCTTGGACAAGTAAGCCCGTGGGCCCTAGGGTGCTGGTAGGGATCAGGGGGCCCTGGGGACTGTCCAGGGAGCACTGCCCAGCCAGGGCACATAGAGGATCCCACTGGCCCTGAGGGTGTGCGGCCACCTGTCCTGGGCACTCTGGCTGGGGGGAGCAGACGCCTGGGCGCGCGTGACCCTGTGTGACCGCCCTCCAGCACGCTGAAGCTCTGGGACTACAGCAAAGGCAAGGTGCGTGCAGCACAGTGGGCGGCGGGTGGGCGTGTGGGCAGAGCGCCGGGCCGCGCTCACCAGGTCCTCGCCTCCCAGTGCCTGAAGACGTACACGGGCCACAAGAATGAGAAGTACTGCATCTTCGCCAACTTCTCCGTCACCGGAGGGAAGGTACGTCTCCCGGGGCTGGACCCGCCGGGTGGGATTCAGGCAGGAGGGGGCGCTCCCTGACCATGCCCCTCCCGCGCAGTGGATCGTGTCGGGCTCCGAGGACAACCTGGTGTACATCTGGAACCTGCAGACCAAGGAGATCGTGCAGAAGCTGCAGGGCCACACGGGTAAGCCTCTGGCCCTCAGTGAACACTGTCCCTCCAGAGCCCCCACTGCCGCTCGGGGTGCGGCCTGAGCCCAAGGACAGGGCCTGTCCAGACTTCCTTGGTCTCCCTGTGGTCTCGGTACACGCCGAATTCTGGGCTGCTCGGGGACGAGGCGTGGCACGGAAGGCACAGCTGCACCTTCCAGGGCCGTGCCGGGTCCTCGGTGAGGGCAGCAGCTTTGGGGGTGGGCCGTGGCGCAGGGGACAGTTGCCTGCACCCTTCCTGGGGACCCAGACCCCCACGGTGCTCAGGCCACTGTGGCGTCCCGGTGCTGCCCTGAGCCACCCCTGGGCCGTTGCAGACGTGGTCATATCGACGGCCTGCCACCCGACCGAGAACATCATCGCCTCGGCCGCGCTGGAGAATGACAAGACCATCAAGCTGTGGAAGAGTGACTGCTAGGCGGCGGCTGCGCTGCAGGACCTGCCCAGGCCCCGCGCCCAGCAGGGAGTCCCGGGGCTCCCCGAGTGCCCGCCCCTTGGCCCACCCCGGGCCGTGCGGAGAGTCCATAGGAATTTTTAATTTTTTATTACAAAGTGTGAGTTCACTTGATCGGCGTTGTGTGTTTGTCCCGTGGTGCTGTCCTGCCACCCGCCCGAGCCCTGGGGGCCTTCTGGGAGCCTCCGGGGGGAGCACTAGAAGGGGCTCCGGAACTGGTAGAGGAGCTGGGGGGCTTCATACGCTGCCTCCTGATGCCCTTGCAGGTGGGCTTGGGGCCTTGGCATCCATCTCGGGGGTACAGACTAGACTCCCTGCAAGAGTGGGTCCACCCTGGAGTGTGGTTGGCACCTGAGCCCAGTGCCAGCATCCCCAGGAAAGGCGGAAGGAGTGGGCGGCCTGGGGTTCTGGACTGTGGGGGAGGGTGGAGGTGGGGGTGCCTGGTGCTGTGCAGGCGGTGCCTGGCCTGTCCCCACATCTCTGGTGCCACAGGGGGCCCTGTGCTGGGAGAGGCCGCGTCACAGCCTGTGGGCCCGGGTGGGGGCTGCCCCCAAGTCCCAGGACCGCCAATAGAGTTTATTTTTTCTACATTCGAACTCTCTGTTGTAGATTTCTGTAAAAATGCATTCTTTTTGAAAATAAAGATTTTCAAACCTTGTAATTTTGTCCTTGAGCTTCTTCCCATGGCCTGAGCTGATGGGGGGTTCTGCCTTGGGGGTTGGACTGCCCTGGAGGTTCCGCTGCTGGTGTCCCCACCGCCAGTACGATCTGGCGGGAAATGTGGGTTTTCAGTTTTGCTTTTTATCATGGGGCCTCCAGGGTCTCCCAGGCTGTATTCAGAGGGCCTGGGCGGGGCACACAGTGTTGGGGTCCCACGCTGGTCAGGTCTCCCCCATACCGTATCTGAGTAGACGTCTCCTTCTTTGGGGGGGTCTCCACCCCAGCACCACAGATGGCGGAGTGAACGTCAGCATCCGGAGCGGGCCCACATTGAGCACATGCTGTTTGTCTCGTGTGCATGCATGCAGGCATGCACACAGCTCATGGCACGTGTGCTTGTGACTGGGCTTTGAAAGGGGCTGGCCTGGCCCACCCTGCACCCGCTCACAGCCCTCCTGGCTCCAGGTTCACCCTCTTCCTCCCTGCGGGGCACTGAGCCCCTTGACCTTGAGTCTCCTGGGTGAACGGATGACACCCCCGGGCTGGCGTGCACAGCTGGGGACTGGCAGGGCGGCTCTTAGGCCCAGGAGCCGGATTCCCGGGATCCACTCCATCACCAAGCAAGCCCTTGTGGTGGGGCTGAGCCGGCTGCGCTCAGCACTGGGCCTGTGCGCCCCCTGCAGGCCGGCCCTCGCACTGCCAGCCGTGTGCTGCAGGGCGTGACCACCCGTCCCTGAACACACAGCGACTCGCTCTTAACCCTGCCTCCGAACCCCGGGGGGCCTGCACGCACGTGGAGACGACGCCCTGCAGGCCAGGGAGGTGACCCAGCCGAGTGGGACCCACTTGGAACCCAGGAAGCATTGCACGGTCCCTCCCACTGCCAGGTGTGGCCACGAAGCCGAACCACTGAGCGGACGCCTCTCTGGGTCACCGTCTAGTTGTCCAGCCGCTCCAGCAAGCGGGGTGCTTGGGACGAGGGTTCGAAAGAGGCCTGGGTGGGGAGCCGGAACTCCGCCCAGCTGCGCCCAGGGTCATGGGTATCGCTCTGCAGGGCGACCACCAGCTTCTGGCCTCGGACCAGTGGCCAGCCCGGAGCCCAGTTCTTCCCGGTACCCTCACACTTGCTCCTCCTGGAGAGGGCCACACTCTGCTCTCCTGTGACCCTGGACGTGGGAATGCCTTCTGAGCGTGTCAGCCGGAGATAACGACCCTGCCGCGGTCGGTGGTCGACACCCGGCCCAGACCCCGTGCCCATGCCGGTAGCACTGCCGCCCGCGGCTGCCCGCTGGGCGGGAAAAGCGCGGCCCGGCTCAGAGGCTCCACCGCGCGCCCGATAGCGGAGTTGCGGGCCGGGGGTCGGACCGCTGGAATTCCTGGCGTCCCTTCGGTCCGCGAAGCCTCCAGCTCAGAGCCAGAAGTGACGCCCGAGCCTCACCGGGCCTGGCCCCACCACCAAACTGAAAATTAGGAAAGTACAAACAAAAACGTTGGTTAGATGCCACGAAGTAGGTGGCAGTGCCTTAACCGTATGCGTGTTGCAGGCCGAAGCCTCTTCCATCCTTGTCAAGGGGAGTGCTAACCTTCTCTCCTTTCATACAACACAACTAAGCTGCTAGACCGCTTGCTATTTAACGTCCCGCCCTCGCCTAACATTATGCTCATGGTGACTTTTGGGAGGCCGTCTTCGACCTACTAGGATCGTGCCAGCCGGGCATCCGAGCAGCAAACGCAATCATACTGCAGTCAGCCCCAACGGCCCGCCAAATAATGTGAACTTCAGCGGAGGAGAAATATTTCTTCGATCACTCCTAATATATTCATAAAGCTAGCCAATGAGAGGCTGCGAGAAGCACCGGAAGTCATCGCGTCTTTCGGCGTCCTAGGTACCCCGGAAACAAAACAGGTGGTGCACTTCCGGTAGCGACGCGCGGCTGCCAACGACACCTTCTCCGGAAATAGAGAGATTCTCGCCAATCAGGGGCGGAGTTGGGGTGCCGCGAAAGTGACTTCCGGAGGCCTCCGCGCGCTTGGAACTGTGGGTACTTGGGAGGGGCTGGGGGCGCGGCGTGCGCATGCTCAGTCCGGGTCCTCCGCGGCGTGGGCTGACGGGCGTGCAGCCCTTCCCCGCAGCTGCGGCGCGAGTCTCGCGGTGCCGCTTGGCTTCTCCTGCCCGCCTTACGCGAGCACTGGAGATTTGAGCCGGATCCTGGCGCGCCGACGTTGGTGCGACGGGCTCCCACCTGCCCCTCCCTGCGCGCCGTGCGCTGCGGAGGACGCGTGCGCACCTGTGTCTGCGGCGTGTGCCTCTTGTGCGCCCGAATCCTGCGTCTGCGATCGCGGATTCATGCTCGTGCGCACGCGTGTACGTTCACGCCTGTGTGCGCGTGTATGTCTGCTCGTGCGTCCACGTGGGCGCCGATGTGCTTCCGGTGACTTCCCTGCTCGAGGACGCACGTGTCCACTGCCACGCGTCTCGGGCACTCAGAAACACGCGCACACTGAAGGACAGTAGCCCCGTGGGCACCCTGGCAGGCAGAGACCGGGCAGGGCCGCGCGGCTTTTCTCGGTGCTCTTGGGTTGTTTTCCTAACGGTGATGTGAGAAATGCAGGAACTTGAAAATTTCGAGTTGCTAACTCAGGAAACCAAAACGGCTAAGCCTGGTTCTTGAGTTTGACTTCGGGACCCTGAAGGGGAGGGCGGGGCAGTGGGCGCAAGGAGTGGCCGGTGGGTGCCCCTGAGCAGGGCAGAGAGAGCTGAGGGGACATTGTGGGAGGCCAGCCGCGCACGCTGCCAGTCCTTTTACGTGAGATGTGGTAGGTGGACAAGAGGGCGGATCGCTCACCTGCAAGAGGCGGGCAGGGGCGGGGCACCGTGGGAGGAGGGGCGGGGATGGGGCGGAGCATCACGAGAGGAGGGGCGGGGCATCTTGGAAGCAGGGGGCGGGGCATCTTGGAAGCAGGGGGCGGGGCATCTTGGAAGCAGGGGGCGGGGCGGGGCGGGGCAGGTCGCTGCCCCGAGGGCGGGTCTCTGTTCCCCGGGAAGCCGCAGGGTGGCTGGTGTTCTTGTCCCTTTTCCCGCCCGTGTCTGCATCGTTCAGGCACAGCGTGAGGCTGGTGTCCCCGGTGCTGGGCGTGCTACGAGGGGCCGCAGGACTCAGCGGTCGGAATCGTGCCTCTGGGCTTCCTTCGGAGGACTTGTCGCTTGTCCTGGACCACGGTCAGCCGAGATCGGCGACCCCCTGGGACTGCGCCCCCCTTACCTGTCGGGCTGGGTGCCGCCTGGACCCCGTTTTTGGGTCCTGGTGGCCCTAAGGGTTCATCTCCTTGGGCTCCCTCAGCTCCTTCAGAGTGGGGTGCAGGGCTGGGCTCCAGGAACGGTGTCCTGTGGCCCCCCTCCCCCCCATCACCCTTCCCTGGAGTCTGAAAGTTCCCCAGGAGGCCCAGGCCAGCCTGCGCCACTCAGAAAGAAAGAAACGGACTACAGAGGCCTGGCCCAGCCCTGCGGGCGGCCCCGGTGCACCATGGCAGTCTCCTGGTTGCTCTGGGCTCTGGGTGGAGCCTGGCAACCACCGCTAGGGCACACCAGGGGCTGGCAGGAGGCTGCCTGGGTGGGGATGGAAAAGTCGGAAGGTTCGGAGACCACCGCCCCTCTCAGGACCTGCAGAGCAGGGCTGCTCTTGGGCTGTCCCAGGGAAAAGGTGATTCGCACGGGCCCTGTTCCGGCTCTCAGGACTCCCTGAAACTCCCACCCACATACGTTCTTGCACACAGACACAGACACACACACACACACACACACACACACACACACGCACACACCCCTCACCAGGAACGTTATACTATGTCTCCTTTCCTGGAGGCCTGGGCATGAGACTGGCACACAGCTTGAGAAAGTTTCAGAAGCTGAGGGGGGTTCGTGGGGTTTCTCTTTGAATTTGTTTGGCCACTCCCAGCAAGGCCCAGGGGTCATGGATCTTGGGGAATCGAACCCCGGGTTGGCTGTGTGCAAGGCAAACGCCTTACTCACTGTCCTGGCGCCCCGGGCCCCGAGAGCCGGGATCCTAACGGGCCGAGTGGTCAGGAGACTATGCTCCCCTGCTCAGCATGGTGGGAATAGGGGGGTCCTTTCCAGCAAAGCCCCAGCTCTGCGCAAGCCTTTCCCGAGGGTCCCTCCGGGTCCCTCAGTGCTGTGGTTAGGGAGGGGTGAGGAGGGGGGACGTCTCTCTGCCTTTGTCCTGAAGCCACCATCTGCACTCCCTCGTCCTGAAGTTTTATTTTGGGGGTGGTGACGCTCCCAAGGGGTGCTCGGGTTCCTGGAGCCCCTCTTGGTTCTGGCCCACCAGGCTGGCGGTTCCAGGCAAAGACTGAGCCTGTGGGGCTGCAGGGAGTGAGCTGGGGGCTGCTCCATGGCTGCACACAGGGACAGCCAGGGACCGCC